ACTAATACGAATACTACTGCTAATACCACTACCGCCACTACTACTATGACTACTACTATGACTACTACTACTACTACTACTACTACTACTACTGCTACTACTACTACTACTACTGCCACTACTACCGCTACTACTACTACTACTACTACTACTACTACTACTAATACTACTACTATATACTACTACTACTACTACTACTACTACTACTACTACTACTACCACCAACATCAGCAACACCACCACTAGCACTCATCCTGCTTCTAGTCCTACTACGACGACGACAAGGGCGATGACTCCTCCTCCTCGTTTCTCATACTGAAACTTTATTAACCACTACTATGACCAGCACCTGCTGCTGGTATCGGCGAAGACTTGCGGCTCTCTCGTTGCCAAAACAAGACATCTGCAAAACCAAGCCCAAAATACCTGCATCCGAAGCCCCACAACCCTAAGCCCAAATCATGCTGAAACTCGTCTGGGATACTGTTGCTCTGCCAATCTAACGGATACATGAACTCGGCCTGCACGTTTGAGTAGACGACAATGACTGTGGTGTCGGTTTTGTTTGACAATAAGCGACACCACAGTTCAGCGCGACACCACCTGAACATTTGCATCGGACAGACTTAAAAAGGAACAGCCGCAGGGTCAGGGCTAGGATTCCTGTGCTGTTAGGCCTTGCCCCTAATATAGACCCTTAGACCCCAAATCCTACCCGTTGTAAATGCCAGTTCTCAATAGAGACCCAGCCACCCTCGGGAAAGCCACGTTGAGTAATTCGCCAAGAGCTTCGAGTCTCTGTGAGTCAACTCCGGGACCAATGCGACAAATATATTGGACAGCTCCACATAGGCTGGAATGCTTTGAACCGCCAAAGCTGCATCCGTCTTCGTGGTCTCTTCATTCACTCCTTCTGAACGCACCGTAATTTGTGGGATTGCGAACCAGTCGAGAAAGATGTAGCCTTCGGCAATCTGCTGGCGTGTGCTTGCTGAGAGGCTGTTGTCTGCGGTCCGGCAAGCTATGTCCTCGTGCACCTGCAGTGAGCCACCGATGACCCCTCGAATTGCCTTCTGAAGAACTTCTAGTTGGTGTCCTTCCGGGTCCGGATGCTCTTTGCTCAGCCACTGATGCGAGACGAAAATCAAGAACATGCCTGGGAACCACTTGTACAGCAAACCCCTCTCCAGCAAAATGCTATGGGCTTGAGGTTTACCGCTCATTCGGAGGAAGTCCGAGACTTTAACGGCCCAAAGAGGATACCGACATTCATGTACGGTTGACTGGACGTCAGCACCGCGCACACTTATTCGGCGAAACACAGAGCCATAGGCAGGTACTGTTAGCACGCAGTCTTCAGTTGCCGGGCAGCACAACGAGGCACCCATGGCTTGGACGAGCAAGTATCTGTGACGCTGTCACTGTTGCAGAACGTACAGTACACGGTTACATGCTTTACGTGTTGTGGCTATATGGGATGAAGCCGAAACCCCTTTGCTACTGCATCGTCCCTGAGCCTGATGCCACAGCGTCCAAGACCACGCGAAGCTCAAGTTGTGAACATTTCCGGCACAAGGAACACAGCAGCAGTATTCTCTCGTGCTCTGCCTTGGGTCCTTAGGTCGCAACACTGAAAGCGATAAAGATGAGCGAGAGAGACAAAGAGAGAGTTCATTCATACAGATCTTCTGAGAAGTCAAGGCTCAACTGGTCAAGCGCTGACCAACTTACTGTACGTCAACACTGCATTCTACAGACCAGCTCCCCAAAGATTCCGGCACACTCCTCCACGGCAGGATTCCACCACCTCGGCAGGCCCGTAATTACCGGGCCTAACTTAGTACAGGGGTGTTAAGGGCAAAATCCAAAGCGCTGTCTGGCCGACGCATGTGTTATAGGGGTTTAGGGTTTAGGGGTTTAGGGGTTTAGGGGTTTAGGGTTTAGGGTATAGGGTTATGAAACACAGAAGATGCAAAAACGAACCTGAGTGAGCACATCTTGTCGTCCGCACGACAAGGTGCATGCGCACATGTGCTTATACGCCTATGTAACCACGCATGTATTTATCTAGGCATGTGCATGTGTATGCATGCATGCATGCATGCATGTAGGTATGTACGTATGTATGTACATGTATGTGTATATATATATATATATGCATACAAAAAGTCACATGCATATGCCTATGAATCTATGCAGAATACTCTGTGTACACTCTTGCTTACAGTCAGACATGTATGTATAAGCCCGAACACCGCAGCAACAGTACCTTGAAGCACAAACCCGGCCAGCGGGTTCTGGCCCACTAAACTACAGTCCTGACACTCTGCTAGTAAGAGACACGCGGTATACTTGCGGATCAGTAACCCCAAAGGTCCATGTACCCAAATAGTGTAATATAGTTCGGCCTTAAAGTAGTCCCTATATAAGCATATGTAGGTAGTTTGGGGCCACAGTATACACTAATTGGGTAGATGGGCCCAGCCATGGGAGTCCCGAACATCTAAACCCACAAGTCCACAGATCCAGACACCAACACCGGAAGCCCTGCACGTGAAACTTCCCGACACCTTTCCCTCAGGGTCCAAAGGACCAATAATTAGGTACTTAGGTTTCGGATAGCAGTTATGTAGGTTACTATCTGCAAGAGTATATGATTATTAGGTACTTGGACCCTTGGGGTTTGTGAAGCAGCTAAGCGAGACCTTTCCAGGTGTTGAAGTTTCTAGCCGTGCCGCGGGTCGATCAGAAGTACGAAGTCTGCCGAAGTGAGATTCAAGCCTGCACTGTTGTTTTTTTGCTTCGGGACTCCATGGATTTGCCCGGGGCACAGCCGCTTTGCTTTCAGAAGCCTGCAGTGTTAGTGTTTGGGGTTTAGGGTTCAGCATCTGGGCCATTAGGGCGATTTCTTTCGATTTTTGATTTGGCTGCCTAGTGGACCAAGAAACCGACCCTGGGACTATTCATTTGGAGCTGTCGCAGCTCCCGTTTGCATGCCACCTCTTCTGTTCAGAGGTTCAATCTTGCATGCTTCTGTGCAGCATTCCCGGATCGAAGCGAATGCACTACGTTCCTTCAGGAAAGGTCATACGGGACCACAGCATCCAATAACTATGTCGCTGGGCTTATGGTAGTGGTAACGGTGTTTTGCAAAGCATAGCGCTACAGGGGCGGAACTTATTGCCAGATGCTTAGTTTTCTAAACAGAGACATCCATACATACTCTACTTCGGCAAAACCCGGAACTTTAACATGAGATATCGCTCCAACGTCTCTGTTGAATCGTGCCTTGCCCCGGAAAAGAAAAAGCCAAAGCAACCTCCGGAAAAGGTCCCAGACCCTCTGCGGAATCACTCCGAAATCGATCTGCAGACGCTGTTTTACGGCTTTGGCTGACGCCTACTGCTGGGCAAGGCGTGACAAAGCGAGCTGCAGGCTACGAAACGCTCCGAACTACTACCGCAGATAATCGCTCCGACATCCCACAATGCAGAATCGCTGCTTCTGCCTCAGTGCTCTGAAATCGTTCCGAATACAAAATATAGCAAAAGCCGCCAGAAAGGATACTGCAGTCAACCACTAGCAGCTTCAACCAGAAATGCAACTCAATCCCAGAAAGCCCCAATCCATCAAGAAGATCGCGACCCAGACCTGTGCCGGCTGCCTTAAGGCTGCAAAGCATGACCTCTGCTGGCTGCGACGCTCTAGGGGCGAAGGCATCCATACTAAACCCGCCGTCGTAAGCAGAGAACGGGAAGAAAGCCCAAGATGCGTCATTGACACAGTTTAGGAAATTCCGATAGTCTCCATTGTAGTTCCTTTTTGGGGATACCTTATAAATTCCTTAATATATAATTGGTTAAACCAAAAAAAGGAACTGCAATGGAGACTATAGGTTTTTTAGGACTGACACCACCAAATAAGTACCATCACTTTCGCATATTATCGCCCTGCGTGTGCTTGAAGGCTTCATTCACCATCAGCATTCATAAGCAGGATTGGGAAGGGTTTGGTCGAGGCTTGCCAAAACTGACAACAATGAACGAAGTTACTGGAAGTACCTTAATAATTAGAATAGGGTTTTGGGTATACTATACCCTAAGTATAGTAAGGAGCCGCAGAATAGTATATATGTATTTTTTTGTATCTCGCTCGGCGCTCCACAAACCCTGAACACAAAAGCCAATCGGGAACCCGGGCCTCGGCGTCGGAACGACACAGAGACAGACTTTGCAAATCGAGCTCCAGAAATATAGCATACGAATGCGATAATCTAACTGTAATCAACTAAAACCCATTGAAAAAGCTATGATCTCCTAATTACCTCAGATCCTATACACACTTCGCAGATCGCCGGCCTGAATATGCCCATGCCCCGCGAAGCTCTGCTGCGCCTCATGAGATCCAGGCTGTCGAAACAGTCTGATCCCACATGGAGGTTTTGTCACAGAGGTGTTGATGGTCGGGAGCTTCTTTCGTCATCTTCTTGGGGAAGGTCGTGAGTTTACCGCGAATAACGGCCCACCCGCTGAAGGTCTGAGATGTACGGTTTGTCCAGTTTGGTAAACCATGCACCGGGCACTCACCGGGCACTACGGCTTGGCCTGTTATGTGCTACCCCGAAACCTTGAAACCAGGAATATGATATTGGAACGCATGCAAAACCTACGGCACTCTCTTCCCGTCTAGCCGTGAGCGGGGCATTTACTTGCAACTCCAGGCAAACGCCCCGAAAACCATGAAGAGAAGCTAGAGATACACCAAGCCCGAAAGGCTCCAGGCCCGAAGCCCTAAGCCCTAAAGGCTTAAAGTCTAAACACCACAAAGAAACCCTAAACCCTGAGCCTGCACTCGCTGCTCGTGCTTCAGGGAGCCGTCTAAACGGACGAAAGGCAGATTCCGCCGGAGGAGCTCCTAGGCTGCGACAAATTTCGATATCTACACATACGCACACACACACACACATCTACATATATGCATAATTACACATACACATACATATATGTATGTATGTATGTATGTATGTATGTATGTATGTATGTCTGTATGTATGTATGTATGTATGTATGTATGTATGTATGTATGTACATAGATATATATATATATATACATTTCACACACACACACACACACGCACTCAGCAAAGAATGGCTGAGGGCTGCTCGAAGCAGCAGAGAGGCAGCAGCAAGCAGCGCAGCCCAAAGCATGCTGTGGAGGGCTGGAGGCTGAGAGTTGAGGGGATAGATACAGAGATACGTGCGTGTGTGTGTGTGTGTGTATGTGCATGTGTATGTGTATATATATATATAGAGAGAGAGAGAGAGAGAGATAGAGAGAGAGAGAGGGAGAGATGAGACGGAGGGATGCAGGCCTGCAACATTGATGACTCGAGGGTTGTATTGCCATACCTTCTGGCTAGCAGGCTGTTCGAGGTCCATGCAAGGCGCTGCTTGCACCAGGTTCAGCATGTTGGTAAACTGTGAGAACACCACCGCCTTGAGCGCACTGCAGGTTGGGTGCTCAGGTTTGGGTCTCCGAGTGTACCTATAGTCTCCATTGTAGTTCCTTTTGGGGGATACCTTATACAATCCTCAATATATATTTGGCTAAACCAAAAAAGGAACTACAATGGAGACTCTAGGTAAGGTCGGAACGTGAAATGAAGTCACAACAATCAAGGGACTGAGCGAGGCCCTGTAGATACACCCACTGCGGTCACACCCACATCCAGGACTTCGCAACAAGTAAGGCGACTACGAGTGTTGCTGCAAAAAATCCACCATCACAGTCCTCCACAGTCTGGATCCGAATTTTAAACTGAGCTCACCACAAACTTGTCTGCAGTGTCTTGGCTGATGCAGTCACTACTACACTACAAGAAAGCAGGTGAATCGTGAGAAAGGAACCCTGAGGCCCTGCGAACAGGAGTTCAACCTAACCTAAAGTTACGAAGGTTGCGGGAGTTCAGTTTAAGGCAGGGTTCCGGAGTTTGTGCTTGGGATCTACAAGGCCTAAAGGGTTTAACAATTGGGCTTCAATTCTTTTCTTGCCGGCTTCTGCACTCGCCCCAGGCTAATCTCCAGCTGCAAACCCCAACGAGCTTCTCACGACATGGCTTTAACACTGGTAAAGGGGCCCAGGCTGATTATTATGGAACCATGCGGCATAACATTAGGCTTCTACATTAAAGTCACTGCTTCGGGGCTTGGGGCTTGCGAGGCTTACTGTTGCTACGCAGGAGGGGCCATAGCAGTTTAACCCGCTTTGGCTGCTGCCATACATAGTCCTACTGCCCCTCTGGAATTTTCTCCTCATCCGTGCTGCTTCGACTTCTACGGCAATTTCCATTACTACTTCAAGCATTGGGAAAGGCCCGAACCGACGGAAACCTGCGATGCGGGCGGGTCGATGGCATGGCCTAAATAATTTCAGTAGGGTTTTGGGGCATATTCTTCTTTAAATAAAAGCAGGAACCCCCAAAACATAGTATTTGTAACTATTTTGGCCCCCTTTAGTAGCGGCCCCTCTCCAAGCCTTGTGTGGCTTTTGAAGGTGCTCGTCGCTCCTGAGCTTCGTACTCGTGCTTTGGGGCAGGACCTACCTTTTTGAGGAACTACAAAGAGCAAACCACAAAAAGGAGCCCTAGAAAGGTAGGTCTTTTTGGCTACAGGTAGGGTATGGTAGGGTTTAGGGTTTAGGGTTTAGGGTTTAGGGTTTAGGATGGCTTTTGGGAGCCGAGGTTGAGGCTGTAAACTTGGCGGGGAAGCTGTTGGTTCGGGTTTGCCTCACGTGCACATGTCCCGAAATGTCTGTCCATCATGAGCCCTATGTATGTATGTATGTATGTATGTATGTATGTATGTATGTATGTATAGACCTTATACATATACATATAACAGAAATAATACATATGCCTATACATACACATACGTACACATACAAACATGCAGACAGACAGACAGACAGACAGACAGACAGACAGACAGACAGACAGACAGACAGACAAACAGACAGACCTACGTACATACATGCATACATACATACACACACACATGCATACATACAAACATACAGGCATATATACATACATACATGCATACATACATACGGACCCGGACAGAATCTGCGGATACCTACAACCGTCACTCCAAATACGCTTGCCAAGCCAAAACCTAGAAATACGAAAAAGGGCCCCACTTCGCTTTACAGAACCAAGCAAGCACCCCTGGTTCAGGAATGCCGGTGACTTCTGGATGAGACCGTTGCAAAGCGGCCTGAGAATCAGCGAAAAGATCCCCATATTATAGTCTCTGTTTACGTACACAGACTCTGACGTAACCGCCAAGCTCGTGTCTAACCAGGCCCCTCTATCGACGGCTTGGAGTCTGAATGTAGGGACGCAGAGACCATGCCCAAAACTCTTAGTCCTCAAACCCCCAACCCCAAGCCCTGCACCCTTGAACCGCCAATCGCACCTTTGAGCCTTAAGCCCTCAACACTATGTGAACTGGAAGGCACAAGCCTCAAACCTGGTCAGTTTTTGAAAGCTTGATGATTCCAATTTGCCGCAGGAATTTAACAAGCTATGGGGTGGTTTGGATGAGTAAAGCATGCAATGCAACTTGGCCAAGGACCTTTGGGAGTGTGACACATCGCTTTCCAGGATGAATGTTGCAGGTGTTCTCCCCATTCCTTGCATGAGGTAATCGTGTTGCTGTTTCTGCTCTGACTATGGTTGTGATTGCCGCGCCATAGCTTTCGAGGCTGTCGTTGCTGCGGAAAACAATGCCTCTAAGTGCGAGATGAAGGTTTAGCAGCAGCCGAGCGACTTGCTGAAGACATTCTCCACAAGAAAGGCCAGCACAGCCTTCCAGTGATCCTAAACCCTAAACCTCCAAAATACCCGAATACTAGGAACAGCCACAAACTCAAAGTCCTAAACCCCTTCTGCCAAAAACAGCGTCAGATTTTGCAGGACAGCTTGGCCTCATAAGGTTTAGGATTTAGGGGTTTGGTGTTTACAGGCACGTCTTGTACCTTTCGGTTCCACGCAGGGTATTGGTACCAAGGTGTTTACGCGAATGGTGACGGCATCTATCGCAAACATGTAACCGGTGAGCCGTGCACGGCGCTACGACGACACTGTTGAAGCTACCGGATCGTTAACAGTGTTCACTCCCAAGTCTTGCATCCTGATCCAAACTCTCGTGCAGAGTTCGCCAGATTCTGCGGCATTGTTCGTACCCACATGCAATCGTACCCTACTAACCCTAGCCTTGAATAATAAAAGGGCCTTGACAATTAGAATAGGCTTTTGAATTGGGGCCCATTATACTATAGTTATAATTAGGAGCCCCAAAATAGTATAGGTAATAGTTAGGACTCCTATATTACTGAAAGCCCTGGCTCCTGACCTTGATCTTGGCACTTGCGCCCGCATGGATGTCACTGCCCTCGTCTCCCTCTACCACCTCCAGCTCCTCGATGTTTTTGGTTGCTTCCTACTTCGCAAGGAAGAGCAAACAAGTTTCAGGGGTGTGATTTACGGTTTCGGTGCTCACACTCCGACACTTGATGGCTTAAAGCTTAAGGTGTAGAGTTATAGGAAACCCTTGCAGACACATTCAAAGGCGGCTCTCAACAGGGCTGAAAGAGCGTACCGTTACAATGTCCACTTCAGTTGAAGGGGCAGGGTCGGAGGTGTGTCACTTTGCTACCCTCTCCTTTGAGCCTCTCCGTTGAAAAGAGGGCCATGCTTGAAGGATCGGGTTCTGATTGCCTGCATTGGGGGAGTAAGAAGTAGTTATAAGGATGATTACCTCGCTCATACTTAAAGGATCTTGGGACTTAGTAAGTAGGGTTATAAGTACCCGAATTGGGGTTATAAGTATTTTTACCTTACTTATAACCTCAGTTACTAAGTCCCATGATCCTCTAAGTAAGCCTATGTACCAAGTCCCATGATCTTATAAGTAGGGCTTCGGGCTTCTAGGAGCTCTAAGGCTCCCTTGGCCTCAAGCTTCGATGCTTGAACGTCTCGGGGGGAACCCAGACACCCGAAAGGATCTCGGAAGGGAGTCGTCTGTCTCTACATGTTGAATTGCGCAAGGCTTCATCCGAAGAGGGAACCTACAATTCGGTAGGGTTTACTTGGAGGGCCGGGGGACTTAGTAAATTAGTTATTAGTTAATTGTCTTATAGACTTATAAGTATCATAACCCCAATTACATACTATATAATTCCCCCGACCCTCCAAGTAGGGCTCCTGAATCAATGGCGGCATCCCTGAGCAAAACCCTGATTGAAGAAGTCTGCCGAACTAGACGTACAAGCGTGTACGATACCCAGCTAGCCATTTAGCCCGCACCGGCACCTAAGGGTAAAGATGAAAGCCAGAGGCCTCCAAGCAATCGCCAGTTTTGAGACTTCTTCCTGAACCCTACTATGGCCACACCCGAACGGAATTCAGTCATGTAGGGACCTTAATAATCAGAA